TCATCATATAGCATCCAAGAGTGAAATGTCTGATTCATTTCCAAAGGATAATGAAAGCAATAAGGATGACATTCTCCTTGATAGTAATATTGGATCCAATGATGAAATGTATAATTCCTTTCGAAGCGATAAAGAAAACAATGAGGATGAAATTCCCACTGATCATAATATTGGATCCAATGATGAAACATCTGATTCATTCCCAAGCGATAATGAGAGCAATGAGGATGAAAATCCTTTTGAACATAATATTGTATCCAATGTTGAAATGTCTGATTCTTTTCCAAATGGTAATGAAAATGAGGATAACATTCTCTTTGACACTAATATTGGATCCAGTGATGAAATGCCTGATTCCTTTCAAAGCAATAATGAAAAAAACAAGGATGTAAAAACATCTAATTCCTTCCCAAGTAATAAGGAAAGCAATGAGTATGACATTCTCTTTGATCATAATATTGGATCTAATGATGGATTTTCTGATTCCTTTCCAAGCGATAATGGAAGCTATATGGATGACATTCACTTTCATGATAATATTGGATCAAATGATGAAATTTCCAAATCATTTTCAAGTAATAATGAAAATAATGAGGATTACATTCTCTTTGATCATAATATTGGATCCAAGGATGAAACTTCTGATTCTTTTCCAAGTGATAATAGAAGCAATGAGAATGACATTCCCTTTGATGATAACATTGGATCCAATGATGAAATGTCTGATTCCTTTTCAAGCGATAACAAAAATAATGAGGATGAAATTCTCTTTGAACATAATATTGGATCCAAGGATGAAATTTCCAAATCCTTTTCAAGTAATAATGAAAAAAAATGAGAATGACGTTCACTTTGAACATGATATTGAATCCAATGATGAAATGTCTAATTCTTTTCCAAGTGATAATGAAAGCAATGAGGATGACATTGCCACTGATCATAATATTAGATCCAATGATAAAATGTGTAATTCCTTTGCAAGTGATAATGAAAGTTATATGGATGACATTCTCTTTGATGATAATATTGGCTCCAATGATGAATTTTCTGATTCTTTCCCAAGCGATAATGGAAGCTATATGGATGACATTCACTTTCATGATAATATTGGATCAAATGATGAAATTTCCAAATTGTTTTCAAGTAATAATGAAAATAATGAGGATGACATTCTCTTTGATCATAATATTGGATCCAAGGATGAAACTTCTGATTCTTTTCCAAGCGATAACAAAAATAATGAGGATGACGTTCACTTTGAACATGATATTGAATCCAATGATGAAATGTCTAATTCTTTTCCAAGTGATAATGAAAGCAATGAGGATGACATTGCCACTGATCATAATATTAGATCCAATGGTGAAATGTGTAATTCCTTTGCAAGTGATAATGAAAGTTATATGGATGACATTATCTTTGATGATAATATTGGATCCAATGATGAATTTTCCGATTCCTTCCCGAGCCATAATGGAAGCAATGAGGACAATATTCCCTTTGACTTTAATATTGGATCCAATGAAGGAATATCAGATTCCTTCCTAAGCGATAATGAAAGCAATGATGACAACATTCACTTTAATTATAATATTGGATTCAATGATGAATTTTCTGATTCCTTCCCAAGTGATAATGGAAGCTATATGAATGTCAATCCCTTTGATGATAATGTTGGATCAAATGATGAAATATCTGATTCCTTTTCAAGCAATAATGAAAATAATGAGGATGACGTTCTCTTTGAACATATTGAATCCAATGATGAAATGTCTAATTCTTTTCCAAGTGATAATGAAAGCAATGTGGATGACATTGCCACTGATCATAATATTAGATCCAATGATGAAATGTGTAATTCCTTTGCAAGTGATAATGAAAGTTATATGGATGACATTATCTTTGATGATAATATTGGATCCAATGATGAATTTTCTGATTCCTTCCCAAGCCATAATGGAAGCAATGAGGACAACATTCCCTTTGACTTTAATATTGGATCCAATGAAGGAATATCAGATTCCTTCCTAAGCGATAATGAAAGCAATGATGACAACATTCACTTTAATTATAATATTGGATTCAATGATGAATTTTCTGATTCCTTCCCAAGTGATAATGGAAGCTATATGAATGTCAATCCCTTTGATGATAATGTTGGATCAAATGATGAAATATCTGATTCCTTTTCAAGCAATAACGAAAATAATGATGATGACATTCTCTTTGAACATGATATTGAATCCAATGATGAAATGTCTAATTCTTTTCCAAGTGATAATGAAAGCAATGTGGATGACATTGCCACTAATCATAATATTAGATCCAATGATGAAATGTATAATTCCTTTGCAAGTGATAATGAAAGTTATATGGATGACATTCTCTTTGATGATAATATTGGCTCCAATGATGAATTTTCTGATTCTTTCCCAAGCAATAATAGAAGCTATATGGATGACATTCACTTTCATGATAATATTAGATCAAATGATGAAATTTCCAAATCGTTTTCAAGTAATAATGAAAATAATGAGGATGACATTCTCTTTGAACATAATATTGGATCCAAGGATGAAATTTCCAAATCCTTTTCAAGTAATAATGAAAATAATGAGGATGACGTTCACTTTGAACATGATATTGAATCCAATGATGAAATGTCTAATTCTTTTCCAAGTGATAATGAAAGCAATGAGGATGACATTGCCACTGATCATAATATTAGATCCAATGGTGAAATGTGTAATTCCTTTGCAAGTGATAATGAAAGTTATATGGATGACATTATCTTTGATGATAATATTGGATCCAATGATGAATTTTCCGATTCCTTCCCGAGCCATAATGGAAGCAATGAGGACAACATTCCCTTTGACTTTAATATTGGATCCAATGAAGGAATATCAGATTCCTTCCTAAGCGATAATGAAAGCAATGATGACAACATTCACTTTAATTATAATATTGGATTCAATGATGAATTTTCTGATTCCTTCCCAAGTGATAATGGAAGCTATATGGATGACATTCCCTTTGATGGTAATATTGTATCCAATGAAGAAATTTCTCATTCTTTTCCAAGCAATAATGAAAACAATGAGGATCTTGCAGATTTTAAACCAAACTTAACCACAGTAAACCATTTATTATTATTTACTGTAATTTTTATTTTGATGTTTCAAGCTCTTTTGGCTTTAGAACAATATATACTAATTTTTAGAGCATTAGACTAAATTCTTGTTAAATAAATATCTTTCAGGTACAACTGTAGCTTTTCCCATAAAATAAGAGTGCATCTGCATTGAACAAAGATAAAAAAAAAAGATCCAAATTAACATAAGCCACTTGCTTTCCTTTAAAACACATATCGCTTTCTCTCTTTCGCTGTCTTTCTCTATTTCTCTTCCAACTAATGAAAGGCAACCCTCAAATAAAAAGAGGAAGAAGAAGGAAAGACTTTATTGGACCAGAATCTAGTCATTGTGACAATGAAAGAAAGGCTCCATGTAACTGCCATTATAAAAAAAAAAAAAAAAAATTGGAAAAAGAAAGGAATGCCAGAAAATAAAAGAAGTTTGGTCAATCAAAAAAAAAAAAAAAAAAAAAAAATGAATACAAAGAGACTCTTTACATTATTTGGACTCTTGTCCTTGTCTTTTTTGTCATATTTATCACAACATTTCGGCCGTTGTACGCTCCGACCTTCTCCAGGTGGTTGGAATGTTGAACTGAACCCTTTATTTCGCTCACTGGGGGTAGACTGTTCTAGTTCCACGTGTCATGTCTAATGGATGTCAGTTATCAGTTATCTACCTCAGAAATATAGACAGATACTAAAGAGACATTTGATGAGTGCCAGATGTCTGGAGCCTCGACTTAACAGATGATAGCTGAGACACAAAAAGAAAGAAGGGAATGCCAAAGAAACCAGCCCAGCATATCACATGAAGAAATTGAGCGGTCGTCTGCTTAAGACATTTTTCCACCCTTCCCAGGGCTGAGAAAACACAGCAGATTGACATCCCAACAAGTTTCCAAAGTAGATACACACTTGAATGCTACCAAGGTCCGACTTGTAATCTATCAACTACCAAGCCGAAAGGACTTTTTCTAACCTGAATTACAAAGGACTTGCTCCAACTGAAATCAAATAAATAAACATTTGTTTTACACTTTTGATTCTGTTCCTTTATTTCCAAACTTTTCGAAAAATACTAAAAACTCTTTAGCACTTCGCCACACTTCTTATATACAAGGGCATCTTATATTCCAAAAAATATAATAATTAAAATTAAATATAATTTTATTTAAAAGTATGTCCTATAAAGATCTTGAAAAGGATTAAAAAAAAAAAAAAAAAACTTTCCCTGGATTAAAATGAGAAAACTTGGATATCAAAGGTATTCACTGTATTGTGCCCATAAGAAAAATCCACAAATACAAGCATCCCTAATTTGCAAGATTTTTATCTCAACAGATAGGATGCTGCTGTTACATAAAAAAAACAAAACACACACATACATACAAATACGTATACATTTACTTATATAAGTAAAATTCCTGCTAGCAAGTGAAGACGCAAGGAGGTACTCGGAATGAAAGAGAATGAGAAAACTTTATGAGAAGGAATCAGAAATTCAATTCTAAACAAGAAATAAACTCCTACTACTGTTCAAAAGACAGGGAAGGCGTATAAACTGAAATAACTAAAATTATAATCCTGGTTGATACTGTTTCCAACAAAAGTTCATTCCTGCTGCAAGTATACAACAAGATACACAAGTATTTTACAAGTTAATTTAGGTTCTGAAAAGAGTGTAAAAATTCTTATATCTAGATTAGGTGTTAAATGAATTAATAAGTGTATTTTATATTTAATATGTATATAAATACTTACATAGAAAATATTTTAAACTATACCTATTTCCATTGAAGAAAAACAAAAAGCAGCAAGTTAAAATAAATAGATGAATTTAAATCATAAGATAAAATATTACCTTCTTTCTTTTCTTCTTTTCTACAGATGACTTTTCAAGTTTTTCCTCGGAGGTTCCTGCTTGTGTTTCAAGATCTGGAATAAGGTCATACACTTTGCCACTGACACTAAAGCAATCTTTGGCAAAATGACCTAAAAGCATAGAATTAATTATTTTTAAATTATATATATATATATATATATATATATATATATATATTGTTTAAAACTGACAATTGTAAAAATTTCTTGAAAATGAAAGCAAATTTAAACCAATTTATCTTTATTTTCAGAATTATTTCTAGGAAACTTAAATATATATATTATTGAAGACTTGAGAAGCTTTAAAAATGTCTATTGATTTATGAATACTATTTACATTATTTGGACTATTTGGACTCATCTTTGTTGCCATATTTATCACAACATTTCAGCTCCGGCCTTCTCCAGGTGGTTGGAATGTCGAACTGAACCCTTTATTTCACTGGGGTAGACTGTTCTAGTTCCACATGCCATGTCTAATGGATGTCAGTTATCTCCATTTAATTCCCCTCTCCAAGGCCTTAACCAGGTACATGGTACAGTGTATGTGCCATACATGAATTTCTGGGTATTATAAACCTAATGTCTTCAGCAACAATTTTTACCAGTGCTCATATTGCAATTTTTTCCTGTTATCAATACATGTTTTTACCAGAGCTCATATTGCAATTTTTGTTGTTATAATCACTTTTTGCTGGCACTCCTTATTACTGGTTCCCATATTGTATTCATTTCTATGTTTGGTCAGCTCGGCAAATTTTTGGGGCCTAGCATATGTGCTGATTCCTTAAATTTATGAATTTTCCAATGATGTTCTATGTCTATGATCTCAATCTGATCCCACAGAGGGCAGTGATCTCACTTTTCTCTCTATATGTGGTCAGCTATGCCTTATTTTTCCACTTTCCCTCGTGTTACAGCTTTCTGGTGTGCTTGAAGCTTTACCTTAAGGGGGGCGGCCTGTCTCTCCTTTATATTTCTTTCTGCAGCTGCACAGGATGGCGTACACACAGTTTTTAGTCGTGTTCTCCTCTATGGTGGGGGGGGTGTCTTACTCGGGAGAGATATCTGTGAAGCGTTGTCAAGCTTTTGAAGTTTGTCCTGATGTTATATGGACCACAGATCCTTTGTATTTTCTCCGATAACCCCTTCACATGAGGCAGGTAGACTGTTTTCTGCGTGTTGTTGTCCTCCTCTTGTACCTGCCTATACCAATTTATTGGGGCTGCTGCCATGTACCCAGGGTAGTTGTTATTTTGTAGAGTACTACTTATACTGACCAATTCTTTATCTAATGTTTCTGGGTCACCACTTATGACTTTTGCTCGGTGTTGTAAGCAGCGGATGATCCCTTTCTTTATGGTGTATGGATGGTGGGAGTTGAAATGGAGGTACTATCCAGTGAATGTTGGTTTATGGTATACAGATGTCTTGAACCCATGCTCTGTTCGAGATATTAGAACATCCAGGAATGGGAGTGTGTCTCTTTCTCCATTGTGAACTGTATTGAAGGTCTTATTGAGTTCACATGGTCCAGTACAACCTGAACATTTATGATTTATGAATAATATGAGATAAAAATAAATTTTTGTGGCACAGAATCAATCCAGTCACAAGAAGACTATGGTGTGGTAGATTGGGTTTCTCAACCTTTTATCAATGTCACACCTAGCAGCAAATGAAAATATTATGGCACACTTAGCAAAATTTTTAAAGTGTGTACAATTTAAATATTATGAAATAAAACTATAGATTTTTTTAAAAATACGCACAAATATGAACTTGTTTTATTTCAATATTTCCATTCAACTATTTGTGCAGCTTATTTAATGTGAAACCAGAGCCTGGTGTTTTTTGGCGATTTCTTCAATGTTTAATGGAAGTCTAATTTACATAAATAAGAAGTAAAAAATTGCAGTAAAACTGATAAAGCCTTTTTATCTAGTGTGGGATAAAAAGTTTAATATTTATTCATTTATTCAAATATTAATGCTGTACCATTACTACTTCCACACACATGCACACATACATATGTGTATGCCATGACAATATTTCACAGCACACTGGTGTCCTGTGGTACAGAAATTGAGAATCACTGGTCTAAGTATACATTGTTCTTATTTAGTATTGCTGAGTCATTGCTCAGCCTGTTGCCAATGAGTCTAAGTCTGAACTACCCGGCCCAGGGATATAACTCACAATTACTATGTCATCTACATTCATGAATCTCTTTAGTCCACTTGATATTGGACAAAAGATTTGATAAAAACAACAAAGGTGGGGACAATAGTCCAAATGTAAATAGTATAAATAATGATAACTCCCCATCCCAGAAATTCAAGCAGAAATTATATTTTAATGGGTCAGAATATTTAATACATTATTCTTATTATGGAAGAATTCTCGTGTTCAAAATTATGAAAAATATAAGTAAAATACTAAATTCTTAAGGAATGATAAAATCAAACTTACCATGTCCACCACATTTCTTACAAACTGTGTTATAAACAGCTCCAAGTTCTATTTTCTTGATTTCCTTCTGAAAAGATTTCTTCTTTTTCCGTTTGTCGATGCTGCAAAAAAAAGAGTAAGTTATAAAAATTAAAAGTAAAGTCATAAAAGACACAAACTAATAAAGAGAATCAATGTTTAAAAAAAACAAAATTACTGATATGGACTGCAGTGGTATGACATATAGTATTTGTTGACATCCTCTTTCTTTAACCAAACAATCAATATGACTCTGATATTAGCATTTATTTTACTTCATTTTTTGTTTGTTATAAAGATTTGTATAGCTTGTAAGAAAAGCATACTGAGGCTCTTTAGGCAGATAAAATAATGCAGCATCATAATAGTATTTGTGTGCTCAGTCATTCATAGTCTACTAAATGTACAAACTTTCACAATGGTTAGTAGCCAGTTTAATTTTATCATATCATGTGTGTTCCTTAAATGCAAATTGTTTATGATGTACAGTTAATTGTCTTGATTTACCATCAATTTCTTGTAATTAATCTCAAGTTTCTAATGTTCTTTTACTGTCTGAAAATCAGATTCCCCATAATGCTGACAAGTGTTCCAAAACCTAGAATTTTCCCTATAATTCTGTGTAGTATTAACTGAATAGTATAAACCAAAAACTATTTAGATTGACTGACTTACATTTTATCTAAGAAACCATTATGTTAACCCCAAGTCAGGTGGGTCAGAGGAGGCAATTTTTCTTTTTAATCAATTTCACCCCAAGCAAGACAGTAAAGCTAAGACACAAGGGGTACTGGATGTGGAAGAATTAGAAACAGAAACATTACTAAGCAGCAAGAATAAAAGACAAGTAATCAGGAGGACAGTAGAAAGCAATTGATGTTGTATTTAAATTTTTGCAGATTAAAGTTGGCTGGAAAGCATGGAGCCAGAAGAGAGTTCAACAAGTGACAAGTGCAAGAAAAGAAACTTTTAGCACAGAATTTACAGGTAATCTAGCCAACTTGACTCTAAATTGATGAGACCACATCACCAGTCTAGTACTGCACTTAAATTCAAAGAGTCTAGGCACCATAGTGAAGAGCTCATCTGAACAATTACCATGAAAGTATTTATAGAAAAGGCACAGAGAGGCAACCTTATGCCAGTGGGAAAGTGGCTGAAGCCGAGATGTCAGAACAGGGCCAATAATATTGTTGATTCTTCTTTGGATTTTATCAAGGAGCTCTAGATAAATAGCAGGTGCACTAGACCAAATGTGACAGCAATATTCTAAGCATAAACGAATGGTAGATTTATAGATATATAAGATAGATAATTATAGTCATACTGGATTTAATTGATCCTGTTAAGTTAAACCAGTATTCAATACTTATTGGTTTTGTTTCCAGTATTCACTTACAGGCTTTAATTAAAATTCTTAAATGTTTTTTTTTTTATCAATCTTTGCTCAGTTTAAGCCCTCTTCATGATTTTTCTCATCTGCTTTAATTAACTCATTTTAATGCTACAAGACTTTTTATAGGCATTTTATGCACAAACATAGACCCCACATGGTTATGCTTAAATGAATATAAAGTAAAGAAATTAAACAACAATTTTATTAGATACTTTTTCAAAACTTACTTAAAAAGGACAACTAGGGTCAGGATATTGTTTTCATTCATTTGTAACACTCCTATCATCAATTTTTGGTTTGGTTTGGTTTGTTTTACGGCATATCAACCTCAATGGGTTATTTAATGTCAAAAAGATTTTTATTGCTGGTACTATTTTCCCAAAAATGTATTGCTGGTAATATTTCTTTTTTTCAAAAATGTATTGCTGGTAATAATTTTTTCTTCAAAAATTGATTGCTGGCAATAAAAAAAAAAAAAAAAAATGTATTTCTGGTATTAAAACCTATTTTTACACTTTCATAGTATTTTGACCCCAGTTTGGGGAGGAGGGGATTCAACTATTTGCCCATAGGTGGGACCCTAACAGGCGCTGCCACCCTGGGTTAGGGTGGACCTGGGAACACCAGCAATCAGAAGCCTTGTTGTTGGATGTAGTTTATCGTCTTACCCAGGATGGCCTACCACCAAGAGAAATGTATAAGTTGGGCAAAGAAGTACATGAAAACTGATTTCTCAACAGAAACTTTTAGTGATAAATGTAAAGGCTATAGTGGGTAAACCTGATGACTGGTCTACAGATTGGATCCTTCATGGAAATAGTCAATCAATGTGACTCAGACGTCAATAGATGGACTAATGCTTTATGCTAGTATTTTAGGTAGTAAAATTATAGGTTCTTTCAAAGTTGATAATGGTAAGAAATAAATCTTGGACAAGACTTTGGGGGGAATTGTACAAGTCATAACCAAGAAACTTTAAGTCAAAGAGAATAATTCTACAAGATAATGTTCATTTATATTCTGTAAGGCCGACTGTCGCTCACCCATCTTCCTGTCAGTCTGCTCAATCATGCCTAGGGATATCTCGTCTTTTTCATTTTTTTTATCTACAATGTTTACTTTCAGGGTAATATCCTCAGTTATAGGTAAATAGCAGGACAGACTGGATTTTATAGCCTTGTGTGGCAACCAGTCTAAGAGATGAAAAAAATGAGTAGTGCAGTCTGGGCTCTGTAGCCATGGTTGGCAACCAGATTAGGAGAAAGAAAAGTCTGTATTCAAATCCAGGGTCCCTAAGAAAGTCTGATGTTGTGTTTAATTTAATTCTGGAAACTCCTGTAACAATGCTGGTGCCAAGTTGTATTGGCCTTTGCCTTTCCCTCAGACAACATTGGTGGCATGGAGAGAGGAGATGTGCTGCATGGGCAATTGCTGATCTCTAGTAAAACCCTGCCCAGGCTTGTGCCCTGGAGAGAACATAACTCTTTGGGTGCAGATCCTGGGTCTCTTGAGACCAATAGATGCTGCATTAATGTCCTCATCTTTGTTATTATTATTATTTTTGGCTGTTTTACACTCTGGCCTTCCTTAGATGTCTGCTGATTCAGATAACCTACCTGAACATTTTATTTAATCTTAGGGGCTAATTTGTTCTCGTTCCACTTTCCATGTCTTGGGACATCTTGTCTTTTTATTAATTTTTTTTACATTATTTACTTTTGGAGAAATGTCAGCATCATTATTGTTATTATCACATTTCGGCTGCTGGATTTGCAGCCTTCTTCAGGTATCTTTCAACAGCAGAACAAGATCAATCTACCACTGTAGATTAATAAAGGGGTCAGTTCAAAATTCTCTGAAAGTTACCCAGATCAACAGATACCTGAGAAAACCAGAGGATACAATAATCAGAAAGTTGTGATATTAACAATAAAGCCGAGAACATTAGTCTGAATGAATAAGGAAAAAATATGAAAAAAGCAATGTATTAGTTTAATAAGTAACATCTAAAAGAAGGAAAAAAGTACTAGATTGGCAGATAGGTCTCATCTTTTTACTAGCTGTAATCGTAAATTCTATGCTAACAGTTTCTTCTCTAGCACTTATGAAACTCTGTTCTGGCCTTTTCTTTCTGTCAACTTTGATCTTGAAAAATTCAAATGCAATGTAAATATTTATCTTCTGTCTTTTTAATTCCTGCTATTTTATTGTTCTCTCTCTTTAATAATGTCATTCTTTTTCTCATACTTTTTCACACGCAGTAATTTCTTGTGACTTAGTGGCTTTAAATGATTAAAAAAACATCATTTACTTTCAGGGAAATGTCCTCATCATTTTTGTCGTTATCACAATATTAAGGTTGTTGAAACCTGCAGATTTCTTCAGGTATCTTTTGACAGTGGAACAAGACTAATCTACTCATGTAGATTAATAATGGGTTCAATTTGAAATTCCCTGAAGGTTACCAGCAACATCTCTTGGGGCTGTTACCAGTATTCTGAAGAAGATCAGGGGTGCACAATAGCCGAAAAGTAGATGAGAACATTACTCTGATTAGTTTAATAAGTAACGTCTAAAGGAAGGAAAAAAAAAAGAAGAAAATATTGTGTTTGATGATTTAAATTTTATATTGCTAATTCCATGGCAAATGTTCAGATGATTTCTGTTCTTTAGTTCCCCCAATTTAGACCTTTACAGCTAGGACATGCCATGCTTTCTTGATGGAGTTGAATCATTCTCATTGCCTACATATTCCAATTAGAATGAGGAAGTTCAACTCAAATTTTTTTTTCAAAGAACAGCAACTGAGCATCCACTTGGAACAGACTTCCAAGTGGATGCTTCCTTCAATACTACAATCTTAACCTCATCAAAGGTCAATCGTTATCTATCCTCCTTATTCTCATAATCTTCACTTTCTTCTCCCTCCTCTCTCATTCATATCACATTATGATGATTTTAACAGTAACCTCTTGATTTGACAGTAACCCTCTTAACCTTGAGTGACTCTCGAGCCTTATACTAGGTGAATTTTAGTATAAAAAAAAAACAAAAAAAAAACACAACTAAAATTAAGTAAAAATGTAAAAGAAGACAATACCCATATAAGCAGGGGTGTATTTTAGCCATTGCTATGTTGAAAACCAGGAAATTAAATAAAAAAAATGTTATAAAAACAAATGTTCTTTGGACTCTTATAAAACAGACTGAATGCATCTATTGATTATGCGTTATTGAATTTCTAACAATCAAAAAGAAAAAACAGTAAAAAGCTGTTTTCACTTTTTTCTGTCTGCTTGCTGATTTTCTATCAGGTTAAAGGAAACAGAAAGAAAGAAGTACTATAAAAAACACACAGAAAATGGGCTCTACTGTGTATGTGTTTGCTGGAGGTAGGCAACTGCTGCTAGTAATATCATTACAATTATTACTGATGATGTTAAAGATGATGAAAAATAAAAAATAGGGCTGTCAACTCAAAAATGTGTATCCAGTGAAATTAGTATTTATAGTAATTATAAATAAATGGTCAGCATCAACTTCCTACAAGATACAACTGATTGGTGACAAGCAAATCTCAAGAGAACTGAAGAGAATCTTACCTTAGTTGTATATTATTGGGATCTAAATCTTTGCCATTTGTTTGGTTTACACTTTTCATAGACAAACTGATTTTACCTTCATCCTGTAATGGAAAAATAGAATAGATTTTAAAATCAAAAAGTAAAAAATCTTTTTATCTAATCCTAGGTCTGGCAACTCTTGTAGTTCTGCACATTTCAAATCTGCTACCTTTAGTCTTTCTATGGACCTGCCACTGGAGATCTTTAAGTTTCAAACTGGCATTTGAAGTTGAATGGTCTATTAATGGTCTATAAACTGACTCATGGGAAAGGCGTCAGGAATGAACCCCGAAGACAAATCTGGAACGCGAGTCCCTGAGACAGTCCAAATGTTATAACCAACTTTCTTCTGGCAACTCCTGTGGTGACATTGGTGCCAAGCTGTACTTTCCCTTAGACAACATTGGTGGTGTGAAGAGAAGAGACATACTTCATGGGCAACTGTCGATCTCTCATAAAATCCTGCCAAGGCCTGTGCTTAGCAAAACACAGGAAGCAATGGGAGGATTCTGAAGGTCTTCTATACGAGGAACAGGCTACTAGCAAGAAAGGTCGATTTTGCTTCAAGAACATCTTCAAAAGTGACATGAAGGTGATGGACATGAACATCAAAGTCAGGAAGATGTCACCAATAATCGTTCAAGCTGGAGACGTGATTTACACAGAAGGCTGGAGTAAGGAGAGAAGAAACGGAGGTTTGTTGCCAGGGTGAAGCATGCTCGAAGGAAAGAAAACAACATGGTGATATAAGGAGAGAGCATCTTCACATGCGTTGGTTGCAATCTAGACTGTCATTCCCATGTGGGCTTGCACCACTATAACAGATGCCACACTGCCATCAACAGCTGAGGCATAACTTTTGGGGCACAAACCCATGGTCTCTCAAGACCAACCGATGCCACACAAAAACTGACTCGTTATAATGGACGTGTAAAAAAAAAAAAAAAAAACTCAGCAAGGTTTGAAACCAAACTGAAGAATTATGGCAACATTCTACATTTATTTCAATATAAAATTAAACATGTATAAAGGGGGTGCAGAAAATTTCTCAGCCTGATCCATTTTCTATAATCAGTATTTAAATGAATAATCATTTGATAATATATGACACAAAGATCTATTTCAACTGCTAGGAAAACATGTTAGAACAATCTAAAATTTATACTGGGGGCATGAAGCCTAACAAAAGGAGAAAAACTGCTAAGTGCCACAAGGAATAGGAAGTTGTGAAGAGCCATGTCGATTTATGAATTGAAGGGATGCAGCACATGTAAGAAGAAGAATCATTAAAACACCAGTTTTGATAAATAAATTAGTCTAAGAATTTTCAGCATCTAAATTTTATTAAGTTTTCATATTTTTAGCATAAAATTAGACAAAACAAAAACAATTTTTGATAGCAAAAAAAAAAAAAGAAAAAGAAAAGAGAAACGGCCTACATCTTATATACTAAATTGAAGCTAATTTTATCCCCAAAGTTCAATACTATAGGTCATAAATTTGCCTTAAATGATCACTTCTATCTACAACTGCATAATATTTACTTAAATTTTTTTTAATCATTTCACCCCAATTAAAGCAACAAAGTCACAAAGATGCAAAAAGTTTCTGAATATGAAAAAATATAAGAGAGAGAACAATGAATTGCATTTAAATTTTTGAATATCAGTTTACTAAAAGCAAGAGACTGAAAGAGAAGTTCCACAGGTGAGAAGTGTAAGAGAAGAAGCTGTTAGCATATAACTTATGATTATATCTAGCCATTTCAACTATAAAATGATGAGACCTAACTGCCAATTTAGTACTTTTTATCAAGAATCTCTAAATGCATAGCAGAAGCGCCAAACCAGATATGGCAGCAATATTTAATGAATAGATGAATGGTAAACTTATATGTAAAATGGATTCTGACTATTGTAGTAGTAAGAGTTGCATCATTGTCATTTTTTGCTTTCTGATTAGTACAATCTCTTACCAGGGGATAACCAGTTAAGGCAAAGTAGTAAATATATTGAATTGTAACAAAAGTTCATAGCATTTTTCAGTTAGGTGTCATTTGCACATGTGATTTTGTTTCACATGACTGAAATTTATGACATTTATCTTCTAAATAAATAAACAGCAAATTCTGTGTGTCAGAAAACCTTCTAACTCAGAGTACACTTGCTCTACATAGACATATTTTACCTTTTTGCAATCAGGATGATCCTAGGATTGAAAATCTGTCTTTCATCTGGTGCTTGAATATTTAGCATTGGGATTTGTGTCTGGATGAGGAAGGAACAGTTAAAAATTTAAAATAACTGAAAAAAAAAAAAATTAGTGATTTTAAAAATCTTTAATTTATATCGCGTCTAAACTTATGCAAAAACATTGTGAATTTAAAATTTTTTGATTTTAATTCAGTTTAAAATATTTCCGAAACTTTGTGAATTGAGGAAATCAATTTTATTTCTTCAAAATGCCAAGGAATCAGAATTAAAGTGAGAGGTTCTGTGACGTGAGGTTTTGAAGAACTTAACTCAATTGAAGTTCCATGAAGTATGTGATTTGAAGAACTCAATTTTCTGCCTGAATTAAAGTCTTGGCCAGAATTGGGCTTATGGTCCAAATTAAAGTGAGGTTTTGAAGTTCCAGTGAATTGAGGAATTCAAAGTTATTTCTTCAAAATTATCATTATCTTTTTAGTTTTGGGTGAGAGGTCCAATTTGTCCTCTGCGGGAGCTAGCTTAAAAGCATGCACAGAGTGCAGCTTTTAAATGAGTATATACATATTCTGAAGACTGACATTGCAACATGTCTCTCTATATGTGTGTGGCTTGTGAATTTTAAATGTTATGTTAAAAGTGAAAATGGCAGAAAATGAGATGCATTTGCATCATTTGATGTTCTATGATTTCCAGAATGGAAGAAATGCTGTACAAACAGCAAAAAAACATGTGCCATTTATGAAGATGGTGCCATAGCTGAGATTAGTGTTTGTAAGTGATTTGCTAAATTCAAAATTGTAAATTTTTTATCTGGAAAACTGAAAAGATTCCAGCAGGCATATAGTCATTACATGATGACAAAATTGAAAGGCAGTTTAAAAATAGCCCAGGTCACATGACAGTGGACAGAGATACTCCACTTGTCACATACAAGCATTGTGAGTTATTTCAAAATGCTTGGACATGTGATTCGATATAAAATTTGGTTGCCTTGTGATTTAATGGAAAAAATATTTCCATCTGCAATTCTTTGTTCAAGTGCAACATAAACAACCCATTTTTGAAAAGAAGTGGTGAAAAATAGATTGTTTACAACAATGTGGAGCGAAAAAAAGGTCCTGGGGAAAATCCCCAAAGCTGATCTGCATGCAAAGAAGGTGATGCTGTGTATCTGCTGGGATTGAAAGGTCATTGTGCATTATGGGCTCCTGTAAAATCAGATACTGAATTCAGACATTACTGTTTCCAACCAAACTGACTGGAGGCACTTATTTTGAACCCTACAAAATTCTCTTAATGGGGAGAACTTCATTTCTCTGAAAACTATTTAGACCAGTTCATCACACAGAAAGACACCACACTCTGGGAGGTGGGAATCATGAAGCTGCTTCAAAGATGGCAAAAGGTAGTGGGGGAAAAAAAAGTCACTATGTGAACAAATAAATCTATGTACAAATATTTACATATTGTCTTTGAAATTTTATTAAAAAATTCTACAAACTTTTGTTTTGACCCAGTATATGTATTTTGTTTGCACAGATTCGGGTGTTAAGTGATATTTAACATTTAGCACTCTGTATCATTTATAAATATTACTTCCTCTTTTACTGTGTAAGGAATCCCTTCAAAATATAGTGTTTTATATATTAGTTCTATATCAGCTGAGAATGTTAGCCAGAGAAGGTGCAACGAGTCATTTTTCCTGAAGGTTAGCATCAGCCATGCTGATGGAAGGCAGAGGGGAATCTCTCAGGTGATTAATGGAGGGAAGTTTAGTTTTGGAAGTATTAAAATTAACAAGCCATCTTTTGTTCCAGTTAACAGCAGAGTGAAGGTTGTTTTGGACATCGGCTGCCATTTTGAACATATCAAATTGATCAAATATACCAGTGTCTTTATGCTATATTATTATAATCATATAAATTAGTTTTGTTGCCGTGATTTTCAGTTATGTCTTCAGCTGTATTGTTAGCTTACTTTTGATATACAGTAATTTTTTTCTGCTGTACATAAATTCTTTTTGTAATCTACTGGTAGCTTGCTTTAAACATTAAAAATGTTAAAAACTGTTTTCCCCTGAATTTGCCTTGCTGAAATGAGGATGTGACTAAGATTTCCATGCATCTTTTATCATATACAGTAAAAGTTATTTATTAAAATTTATCTTATTAAAACTGTATCATTCTATTTAACTCGATTATTATAAAGCTTGCTTTTTATATACAGTAATGTTTTCTGCTATAGCTAAATTGTTTTTGTAAGGTTTTGTAATGTACTGATAGCTTGATTTAGACATTAAAAACACTAAAATATTTTTTTTCTTCTGCATATGCCTTACATACAATTTATATAATATACAGGGTGTATCAAAAATACTTTTACAAATTTTGGGAGTGGGTTCCTCACACCAAAACAAGGACAAAAGTCCATATCAACATATGCCCACAAATCCTTAATTTCTGAGTGATTAAGTTTAAAAAAAAAAATTATGGTAGCTGACACTGTGTTGTAACGCAGACTAAGATACATTTGTGGCTAGTCTGTTTTCAACATTTAATGTGTGTAATAGTGAGTTAACTGAGAAGTGTTCTGTTTAACAATGCCAGGATATTCTTCATATTATGAACAGGCAGATATGATTTTTATGTACTGCCATGTGAATGGTAATGGACACGAGACTGAACAGCTGTATCAGATTGCGTTTCCAAACTGAAGGCAGCCAAGTTATCCATTGAAGAAACATAAATCTGCCTGAGCAGGTATCTGAAACAGGGATTAGCTAGCTACCCTAGCAAATAGGTATACTTAGATATGAGCTTCCAGGCATACAATACCAATGTAAAGTAAGATAT